GAAATATTTCGTTAATAAATATTTCACGAGTAATATAGTTGTCTTTGTCACATTTTATTTGGCATTAGTAAATAATTATGCACATTTACAGATATTTTACATGATATGAGTGATAACACGTGTTATAAGGGCTATTTTGCACAATAGGTGTGCCTTGAGATTTTTACTTGTCCTTTGGTGTGCCTTGGGCACAAAAAGTTTGGGAACCACTGATCTATACCATGCTTACATGGACTTGTATGTTTTATTTCATATCTAACATAAGTGAGAGAAGAAAGAGATGGGAAAGTGAGAGAAGAAAGAGATGGGTAAGTGAGAGAAGAAATAGATGGGGAAGTAAGAGAAGAATTAATTAGCACTTATTTATTAAATATTATGAATATGTCTTTATTATCAGGCTATGTTCCACAATCATTCAAAGTAGCAGTGATAAAACCGCTTCTTAAAAAGCACAACCTCGATCCAGAGGTTTTAGCCAACTATAGACCTATTTCTAATCTTCCGTTCCTCTCAAAAATTCTTGAGAAAGCGGTCGCAAAACAGTTGTGTGATTACTTAAAAAACAATGATTTATTTGAAGCTTTTCAGTCTGGCTTTAGAACACATCATAGCACAGAGACAGCTCTGGTTAAAGTCACAAATGACATTCTAATAGCCTCTGACAAGGGACGTGTCTCTATTCTTGTTTTGCTCGATCTCAGTGCTGCATTTGATACTATCGACCATGATATCTTATTGCAAAGACTAGAGCACTTAGTTGGCATACAGGGAACTGCTTTAGACTGGTTTAGGTCCTATCTATCTGAACGCTCTCAGTTTGTACGTGTCAATGATGAATCTTCCACGCAAACCAAAGTTAGCCATGGAGTGCCACAGGGCTCAGTGCTCGGACCTATTTTGTTCACATTATATATGCTTCCGTTAGGCAATATTATAAGGAATCATTCTGTAAACTTTCATTGTTATGCGGATGATACTCAACTATATTTATCAATCAAGCCTGATGAAATTAATCATCTAAATAAAATTCAAGACTGCCTTAAGGACTTAAAAACGTGGATGACCTTAAACTTTTTGATGTTAAACACGACCAAAACTGAAGTTATTGTACTTGGCCCGAAGAATCTACGAAACAAATTATCTAAGGATATACTAACTATGGATGGCATTAATTTGGCCTCCAGTGAGACTGTAAGGAATCTTGGTGTTATATTTGATCAGGATTTATCCTTTAACGCCCACATAAAATCAATTTCAAGGACCGCCTACTTCCATCTACGTAACATTGCAAAAATCAGGCATATCTTGCCTCAAAACGATGCAGAGAAACTAGTCCATGCATTTGTTACTTCAAGGCTGGATTATTGTAACTCTTTATTATCAGGGTGTACCAAGAAGTCAGTCAAGTCGCTTCAGCTGATTCAAAATGCTGCGGCTCGTGTACTAACCAGAGTTAGGAAAAGGGACCACATTACTCCTGTTCTGGCTGCCTTACACTGGCTCCCTATAGAACACAGGATAGAATTTAAAATTCTTCTTCTCGCCTACAAAGCCCTTAATGGGCAGGCGCCATCTTACCTTAAAGAACTCATTATACCCTACTGTCCTACTAGGGCATTGCGTTCCAAGAATGCAGGGTTGTTGGTTGTTCCTAGAGTCTCTAAAAGTACAATGGGAGCCAGAGCCTTTTCTTATCAAGCTCCACATTTGTGGAATCAGCTTCCAGTTTGTGTTCGGGCGGCAGACACCCTATCCGTTTTTAAGAGTGCGCTTAAGACCTTCCTTTTTGATAAAGCTTATAGTTAGGGCTGATTAGATCCAGCCCCTAGTTTTGCTGATATAGGCTTAGTTTGTCGGGGGACATCTTACTTCTTCCTTCTCTCTGTCTATACCTGTGTACTCTCATGTTCCGATTAACCCAGCTTCCCCAAATGTCTTTCTTTTTGGTGTCTATATACGCCGGGATCCGGAGTCATGGATGATCCTGCGCTCCTCTGTCCTGGATCGCGAGCCCTGGATCTTGAGTCGTGGCTGTGGTCCTGGATCATAGGTCCTGGATGGATATCCTCGTGGATTCATCTTCCTATTATACACACATGCATTTCCAAACATTTGGACTACCTATGTTGCAAATGTATTATCTTTTCAATTTACACACGGCATCTATTGCACGTCTGTCCGTCCTGGGAGAGGGATCCCTCCTCTGTTGCTCTCCCTGAGGTTTCTCCCATTTTTCCCTTTAAACTGTGGGTTTTCTCCGGAAGTTTTTCCTTGTACGATGTGAGGGTCTAAGGACAGAGGGGTGTCGTATTGTCATACTGATATTTTGTACAAACTGTAAAGTCCACTGAGACAATGTAACATTTGTGATATTGGGCTATATAAATAAACATTGATTGATTGATTGAAGAAAGAGATGGGGAAGTGAGAAGAGAAAGAGATGGGGAAGTAAGAGAAGAAAGAGATGGGGAAGTGAGAAGAGAAAGAGATGGGGAAGTGAGGAAAGAGGGAGATGAGGATGAGAGAGAGATGAGGAAGAGAAAGGGATGAGGAAGAGAGAAGAGAAAGAGATGGGTAAGTGAGAGAAGAAAGAGATGGGGAAGTAAGAGAAGAAAGAGATGGGGAAGTGAGAAGAGAAAGAGATGAGGGAGATGAGGATGAGAGAGAGATGAGGAAGAGAGAGGGATGAGGAAGAGAGAAGAGAAAGATATGGGTAAGTGAGAAGAGAAAGAGATGGGGAAGTGAGAAAAGAAGGAGATGAGGATGAGAGAGAGATGAGTAAGAAAGAGGGATGAGGAAGAGAGAATAGAGAGAGATGAGGAAGAGAGAATAGATATTTGCGAGTTGCATACTGATACTGAGTCTTCTCGATTAATAGCTTATAGACAATACCATGTTTAAATAGACTCCTACGTTGTTATTACATATGTGACATATGTAAGAAAAGGGAGGGGAGAGTCAATTATATTGAGTAATTGATTTCATATTGGAACATTTATTTCTCAAACTTATGTTTTATGGAAGAGGAAATGTATTTCTGATAAACTAATCTTTTATCAAACGGTATATGGTGAATTAATATAACATTTAGAATCATTGAGAAGGGGTTATATCCACAGGGACGAGCTCACCTTTAACTTAAAATAACATTTCTCTGCTTTGGACTGATGAGTATATGATTCTTGCATGTTAAATGACTAACACAAACCTTACATTTATGCATGTGCATGTGTCAGGAAGGCTCCCAAATAATTCTGAGGGGCCTATCCTATTTTTGTAATTGAATGATAATGTGCTAATCCATTACCTTGAGTTGTCTTCACTCAGGAAAACATCCCTATCAAGTGTTAACCCAATAACTAGGACAGCTCTGAAGGCCAAGGGTCAGAGAGAGAGGGTCACACTCTCCGGCTGCAGAGAGCACCCCAGCCACGGGCAAGGAGGCACGAGGTCGTTCGAGATGAGAGGATTCTGATCTTCAACTTTCTGATGAGATGGGATGCTTCTTCATCTTTCTGCTCGGTGGGCTCAAGCAGACAACCCTGCAGGACGAGCGAGGGCTTCAGAGGCTTCTATAATACAAGGTTCCATGTTTCTTGGAGGAGCAGATGTCTTCTTAACCTCTCCCATCACGGGGGGGGCATCTGGATGTGCCACTTGGAATAGGCAGTTGCACTGCTCTCAAGCAGATAGCAGAAGGAATGCAGGCAGATGAGCCTCCATTTCACTGGGGGGATCAACTACAGTGCTCACTGAATGAGCCACACAAAAGCAGAGCAATTGGGGGGGGTTGAAATATGGCACTCTGATGAAGAAGAGTTTTGAGCCAATCAGCACCTCAGTGCTAATCTATACAGTATCAGGATGCCTTTACACACCAGACATTCTGTGTCATAAAGAGAGGAGGAGAACGAGTCAGGACACTTTCTTCCAGCTCTTGTACAAAGATAACATTTGAATTGAATGACCAGATGTTTACAGATGTACAATTAATGATTGTTTTTATATTTCCGATGAACAGACATGTGTTAAATAGTGGTGATAAATATATTTTGTCAGATCAGATTACACTTTCACACTAAACAAAATAAATGAATTGATATTTTCAGATTATAAAGGTATTGAACAATAAGATATTTCTAATATTATAACAGATAATGTTACTATCCTTAATTGTCAAGCAATCAGGTTTAACAACACTACTCTTCAACGCATTACCCATGCACAGACAGACCTAAAATGATGGTTCAAGTTTTAAACGTTTAAACCTTCCTTTCCAGGTTTTTACAAAAGTCTTTGAATATTTGCCTAACTTTTCCTTTTCAGATTGTTAAACATTTTGAGAATTGTTTAATTTTCCCTTCAGATTTTGAATTGACATGACAACCCACCCGTGCAGTCAGAACCTTTTGCTGCTGTGACTTGTGATATGAATTCTCCGGCCGTTGACTTGTAATAAACTATCATTGTTTGACATCAAAGCTCCAACTCTCCTCGTGTCTCTCTGAGTCCTGACTCTCCATTGCTGCAGAAGTTTCCCTTACACTGGGAATGTCATTTTCGAGCCTGAGACCTGAAAAACAGGCTTGGGGCTTAACTGGAGGACTGTGAATAAAAAATATAATGAATTCAAAAAGAGAAGAGATGATTTATGCCAGATTTTTGGGGGAGTTTTCATGAAATCCATCACAATTAGGTGTAGGAGTTGTTATGATGAAGCACTGAAGGGTGCTCAAACATCCACAACAGGGTTAAAGATCTGTAGAAGCAGATGTCAGCAGTAGTAACTGTGGCCGTTTCTCAATGTCGAGGAAAGCTGCTCCAGAGCCACTATTTCAAGCATACTACGTCATCGAGTGGCGCCGAATCACTGTTTGAATGCCCAGCATACATGTGCTACCAAGCAAGCCTCCTCGACATTGAGAAACGGCCTGTGTGTGTGTGTGTGTGTGTGTGTGTGTGTGTGTGTGTGTGTGTGTGTGTGTGTGTGTGTGTGTCACCTGTCCAGTGTCTGTCTTCTCGCTGCACCACTTGCCGAGGTCGGTCATGCACCTCTTCTGCAGCTCGGGGTCCAGCTTCACATCCAGCGCCCTCTGGTGGAGAATCCTCTGAACCTCCACCTTACAGTCCCGAGATAACTGCACACACACACATAACACACACAATAAAACTTGTACAAGAGCCTCACAATAGAGGATTGTTGAGACCAAAACCAATGTTGATATGTTAGAGTTAAAACTACCAAATCAAACTATATCATGGAGAGAAAATAAATGAAACATATCTTTGGTATTTCTGTAGGCTATGTTTAGGTCACTCGTCGGCCAACATTTGTCAAAACTGATATTTCTGTGAAAAGGTAATAAGCTAATAATATGGTATTACCTAGCTGCTAATGACACATTTAGAGTTACTGTTATTACCAGTTTTCAACTTGTAATTAGAGTTCACTCAACATCTAACTCATACTGTAGTGACAACAGGGAAACGTTTTTCTTATTCTCTGATATATCTGAAGTAATGTACTCTCTGATTTGACTAAAACGATAAGTCAAATCAGAGGGAGTTATCAAAAAATGTTTTGATAATCGTTAAATGTTGATAATTTTCAGGCTATTATGTAAAGTTTCCAGCTTCTCAAATGACGTAAAATGCTGCTTTCCTTGATAGTAAATTAAATATCTCTTCATTTTGGACTGTTGGTTGGACAAATTATGGAAATGTTTCACTATATGATGTTTTATAGACCAAATGATTGATTAAGAAAATATGTATTAGTTGCAGCCCTACATATAGAAATACCTCACGTTCCAAACCATACCAAAGTTAGCTGTGTATTCATAAGAGAGTAGTGAATTAGTTATTTCTGTTAATTTACTCGTGGGCTAACTTTTGTATCTTATAGTTTGTAGTTAAACTGTATTCTTCTTGTATGTTTACTAAATGTACTACCACGTTGTACTTCCTATATTCATTATTCCACAGCTTGTAGTTTTGTGGGTCCAGTTTTCTTGTAACTGATACGGTTGAATATCATTCTTCTATTGTGTTGTTATGATTTAACGGAATTGTTATCCCAATGATGTTTTCAAACTTTAACAGTTGCCGTCAGTAACAACCCTTGTATTCCCTCAGCCTTTATTGGAAATGTGTTTATTACCCTATACATAAAACCTTAAGCCATACAAATCTCTAAAAAGAAGTACGAAGCTCCCAAAATGTGCTCACTCTAAAGGTCTGAAACACAGTGATTATGGGAGCATATAATCATATCAAATCAAGCTCCGGGTGTTCACACTGTGAAGCGTAATCACCACTTGGACGGCCATGTGGACCTTCCCACTGAGACACTGATTACATGGGTAGCGGGGCCAGCCATGCGACCTTATTGCTATCATTTAGCAGAAGCTGTTGTTCAAAGTGTTTCTCGGAAATCCCAAAAATAAGTCGGAAACTATCATTTGTCCGATATTTGAATTCATTATTTCAAAAAGGAAAAAATAAGGACTCCCATTCCCTTCATCTTCAAAAGTACTTCCCGTTGAGTGCCAATTAGCAACTGTTAGCATGCTAATACACTGAATTAAAATGGGCTATGAAAAATGACTTTTATGATCTGTCAGATTTTCCAACAACATTTTTGACAGACAAAATGAAATCATCCCCATTATCATCATCAGTTTATCCCTACACCAGGATCAATACAGATGTATTTGAAGTGATCATCCGACCACGTACCTGCTCCGCTGGGTTAACCTGTTCAATTGGAAAACAACAAAGTGTACAGTTCACAATAGTGATACAATATATCCCAAATACGTTGAAACCTCCTCCTGTCATTACATTTAAAGGACAGCGAGTGTGTTTCTAAGGGGTCCTACCCGGCGGCCCTGCTCCTCGCTGCGGTAGGCGTGGCGGTACAGGCAGGAGAAGACGGCGCCCGGCGGCATCAGCTCGCTGGTCTCGTTCCAGCCGTGAGTGTGGCAGAGCCGAGCGGCGTCACCCTGACACTTCTTATACAGGACGGGGTCCAGCCTGGGAGACACACACAACATGACTCAATTCCTCCTTGATAAAGAGAAGCATTACAGCCATGTCTTTTTAACACTCCTGACAATATTCTGAGATTCAGATTTACATTTCTGAGGCGGGGGAGAGTCACATTGCAGAAACAAATATGAGTAAAGACTATTGTACTATTATTATACGTGTATTATAACACCCTTCATTTAATGAATATATCTAAGACAGCTATATTGAAATTCCCTGGAGTTGACAAAACAAATAAGATATATTTATATACAAAATGCTTTTCTTTTAATACTCTCTCAGTTTCTGGTAAATTAATGGTCACCTACAGTATATTATGCAAAATCCACTTCTTCATGTCTCTTCTACATCAACATGTGTCCCCTCTGTGGAAAGAGACTCTGAAAGTTTCAGGAAAAAAGATTCTCTCTCTTTTTGTCCTGATCCATTTCTATATAAACCTGTCTGAAAATGAGCTGATCAGATTTTGGCCACTTTATGATGTCATAACGATTTTTTTGGCTTGTCTAACCATTAGCCAATCACCAACCAAGGTAACCCCCCCCCTTATCACCATTGAGTTCTTTTTAACCAAATATCTCTCAGAGGGACGTGGGGAGGGGCTCCTTATTTTCATCTAAAGTAACAGACAGAGAATCAGCACTTTTGAAACAGGGCTGAAACAGAGGGGATTATGGGATGCTGCAATGATCTGTTTGGTATTTGGAGCCAAACACTTCGGAGCCATGTTTGTATATATCTGAGACCTATAATAAATTGATGAAAAACAATATAATAGCGGACCTTTAACTCATCTTATCTCAGTTGTGTACATAGCCGCGGGAAGTCATTTTGCTCAGGGGGTGCTGCCAAAAGTGGGGAGGGGCCGCTTCAAAAAAAAAGAAAAAAGGCGGTGCCGGGCCGGGCCCGGCTGTCAGCGATACGAGCCGCATAAATTGTTTGTTAAAGGCGAGACACGGCAGGCAAAAACATCGTTTTTCATGCACTGGTCAATTTTGAGATGTTGTGCTATTTTGATTCCATAACATGTTTTCTTTCAGGCTTTTGGAAGGAAAACGTACAAAATACACATTTAAGTGTTTATTTTACTATAGTTTGTCTATTTGCGTCAGTAGATTTCTCCTAAATTCACCAAAAGTTAGCATTCTAACGTAACATAAAGTACCGCGACCGCTGTGTGCACCATGTCAACAGAGATATCGTTGGAAAGCTGTGTCTCTCCTGCACAATCTCATCAGATCCAAATATGGTGATTTCCTTTGTATCAGCCACCAATCGTGAAAGCACAAAGGGGTCTTAAACCAAGAAACGAAATCTCATTGGCTGGTGTCAACTTCTGACAACGTGATTCGTTCAGATGCGTCACGTGGTGTGCTAAAACACTTCCTGGTTAGCTTTCCGCTAGAAATTAAAATCTCAAAATGGCAAAAGAACGGCGAAAAAAACGTTCACAGATAAGACGACGACAATTGTCACTTGCACGAAGCAAGATTGTACAAAAAACAAATGACCCCGAACATGAAATACCTTCACGGAGTGCGTCGATGCGCAAGCTGTCATCCAAAGAACAGGAGGGTTTAGCTAGCGCCTCACTGCAATCTTTAAAGGTCGTTTTCTCAAAATGAGTTTTTTCTCCTACTCTGAGTCTATGGGCTCAGAACAGTCTCATAATACACACATGCACACAGAAGGTTTCACACTTGTATTTCCGGATCCACACTTGTGATTTTCAATGCAAACACAAATGTGTTCCGTTTCATATACATGTAAATAAAATCCAAATACAGAAAAAAGTTTTACATATGTATTTTTGATCCACACATATGGATTTCCGCTTAAAACTTCTGAACCTGCAAACACAAACCGCTTTCTGTGCACGGATCGCTGTGCATTCGTGTGTGGGTTTTTTGAGACTCCCCTGACGGTCAGCCGATTCGTACTTGTAATTTTTTCTATCTATAGCCAATCAGATGTCTCCTTCATTCTAAGCCAATCACATGAGCGCGCCCCCACGAGGGTATGATTTATTGCGTTCATGACACTTCATATACGCATTTTGCGTATTCAGCTCGCTAAACAGAGGGCGGAGCTTCAGGTGATCATGCAGAGCTGCGTGTCTCCGTCAGACTCAGCAGCTGATCTGAGATCTCTCTCGCGTCCGGTTACACTTCACTCGCGTTTATGTCCATATCGATCAGATCCAGCTCTCCTGATCGGCCTTTATAGAGAGCACCGATCAAACTATTAAGAGTGAATATCGGCCGATAATGACCGGCGGGGCTCCCCTGTTGACAGTTCACTGTCTAGCACTGGCTTCGTAGTGCACTGATCGATTAGGCTAAGCTAACCTGTAGCTGCTCCCTCCACACTCACAACAACTTCATGCAGACTAAATAAATAAAGCAGCTGTATTCGCCATACAGGAAACACACATTTAAAACGGTTTTGCCTGGCATTTTTGTGTACACAAGCATTCATCAATGGTTCGGAAAGTGGCGCTGTACCTTAATAATATAACTTTAGGCTTGTATTTGCGTGCATTTCCGGTTCGGAAAGTGGCAATGTACTGAGAGTGGACTGGAGGTGTCCTGACATTAGCGCCTGCAGGCAGGCTCCATGGACCTGTCAGCTCCCGACTGCGCAAAATGCGTACATGAAGCGCTACGTCATGAACGCAAGAAATCTACCCTCGTGGGGGCGCGCTCATGTGATTGGCGTAGAATTGAGGAGACATCTGATTGGCTATAGATAGAACAAATTACAAGTACGAATCGGCTGACCGTCAGGGAAGTCTCAAAAAACCCACACACGAATGCACAGCGATCCGTGCACAGAAAGCTGTTTGTGTTTGCAGGTGCAGCAGTTTTAAACGGAAAACAAATATGTGAGGATCAAAAATACATATGTAAAACTTTTTCTGTATTTGGATTTTATTTACATGTATATGAAACGGAATACACAAGTGTGGATCCGGAAATACAAGTGTGACTCATTTTGCGGATCATGAAATACAAGTGTGAATCCTTCTGTGTGCATGTGTGTATTATGAGACTGTTCTGAGCCCATATGAGTCCGACATTTCCACTTCAGTTGCACTTACATACACCAAACCTTCCAGTTATATTCCTATCAATATTATGAAGGCTTTTACAGAAGGGTTTGTTCATATGTCATTCATAGCCTGAATTACATAACATTTTATACCTAGAAACATGGCGAAAATTGATATTTTAGGGCTGTTGACAGTATTTTCTGATTTATGGAGTGATAAAGAGAGATATCCAATATCCCTTCTGTAAAAGCCTTAGATCAGTGTTTCTCAAACTTTTTCATACCAAGGACCACTTAACCAATAAAAAAACACTCGAGGACCACCTAACTCCACAAATATCCAAAAACACATTGTTTTTTACAAATCGCCTGAAAATGGCACCAACAAGTGGCAACATGTGTGATGAAGGTGTTTATCTGGGCTATATCATGCAATCGAAAGTGAAACTTAAGCTTGTTCCATTGCGGAGATATTCCCGCGAGAGTGCGAAAAACTTAAATTACTTAATTAATTTCAAATGTGAAATGTTACCAATATACTCACGGACCACTAGGGGGCGCTCACGGACCACCAGTGGTCCGCGGACCACACTTTGAGAAGCACTGCCTTAGATGCTAATATGACTACAAAATGAAACGAGAATTTTGAACCTGGCTTTATCCAAAGTTCAGATTTCGGTTCCTGAAATGTGTTAAAATATGCGCACATTTAATGAGATAATGGATCATTTGCATATTCAGAAAACTTGTAATACAAGAAACAATTGCCTTATTGTAGGTAATTAACTGGAGAAATTTCTAGTTGATATCTTTAAGTTAAAACTAATTACCCTATTCACCTGGGGTGTCTCGCCTTAACTGTTAGGCTTAATAAACCATTATAGACCTACATCACTTAGCAACAGCTGCACATGCACATGCTAACTATGGGTCTTACGAACCTACATAACATTACAAATAGTCAGAAAATATTATTTACAATATTAATAAAACTATGAATTCAATTTGAACTGATTGACAAGGCAAAACACTGCACAGCGGCAGCAGCATTAAAGGAAAAATATCGTTTCACCTTGTGTTGGGGCTTCACAAAACTCCAAATGTAGCCTGGGGTGGCACTAATGAAGACCCTCATTAGAGCAGATACATCCACATTGTCCAACATGTTACTATGGACATGCATCAAAGTCAGATGTGTCAGTCTCTTCTGTGTCATATTACTCTAGTTGTAGAGGTGGTGGGCTGAGGAGTAGCTGGTGGTCCACTCTTTTTATTGGGTTGTTTGTTGGAGAAAAAAATCCAAAATCCTTTTTTGCGCCATTCTAGAAAGTTGTCACTCTGCAGTGTGTGTGTCGCGTCAATTACGTCACTATCCCACGACCTAGATGACTCAGATTTGATTTGGAAAATAAATTCAAGCCACCTGACTGATACAAATATATACTATGACTATTATATGCTACTGTATACAGCTAATTTTATTTAAAGTAAAATCATAACTATTTTATGTAGTTTAATCATTTTTATTTAGGTGGTCACTCAGTTTTTCAAATGTACACCACTCGCCAACAGGGGGTGCTGCAGCACCCCCAGCACCCCTACTTCCCGCGGCTATGGTTGTGTACTGTACTGTACACATTAAGATCATGTGACGGCACCTGAGCTATCTTCATATGTTTATGAAGACGACCCCGCAACAAGCAAGTAAGGGCACCTTAAATTACGATGGTATGTCAAATGTTACCTTTTGTGTTGTATCTGTAAAATATAAATTCTTATGTCAATAATGTTAAAAAGGTGAAGAACATGAACGTCGCTGGATTCAGACTCACTTCCAGTCTCTGGATATGAAATACTGCAGCTCCAACAGCCGGTGCTCACAGTCCTCCACCATCTTCTCTGTGTACAGATGCTCCATCAGGCAAGACAGGATCCTACAAACACACACATTTAGAGAGCAAAGTGGTGATTCAAATTCAGATTATTTGACATAATGTGTGTGTGCCCGGTTGTGTTTGTGTACGGGGCTCACATGGGGTCTCCGTTGTGGATGTGTTTGCAGGCGGTCTGGATGACGGACTCGCAGGCCTCGTTGAGCGCGCGGTCGATCCTGTAGTCAGCTCCGGGGTCAGCAGACTGGATCAATGTCTGCAGCTGCAGCGGAAAAGACAGTAGAAAAACATTTAATATCATAATGGTTGCCATTAAATATCATATCATTTAATTTGCTGATTGAATTTCATGGATTTAATGTATTAATTAACAAACTGTCAACCCCCCACTGACACAATCTGCTGTTAATCATGTAGTATATGATCATTAACACTGCCTGATAAATGTGATCATTTATACAATTCTTTATTTATTTTTTTAACAGAAACCTATATGATTATTATTCATTTTTAACAAACTTTAGTTGGTAGAATATCCTGTAAGTTATTGATTTTCTATCAATAACCTACAGGACTTTTCGATCTATCTCCTGTAAATCTCTTTTACACAATCATGTCTGAATATTCTTAATTAAGTATAAAATGACTTCGCACAGCTGGTATCAAAACTGAATTTAATGTTAATAAATGAACTGAACTTTCAGTTTGCAGCTAAACATGATACTTAAAATATCTCCAACACTTGAGCCTGTCAAGTGAAAGCTGGAAAACTGAATGATTTATGCGCAGTGGTTTTAAAATGTATTCAGGAGACAGTTTTGATATGAATTATTTAGAAGAAAAAGGCCCACTAAGCTGCGTGAGACCACACAGAAAACATCCTGCCTCTCTGCTGTTAGCATCCCTCTAACAGTGAGGCGTCACAGCGGCAGTAACTCACGGCGCTCTGGCAGACGCTGTCCACCGCCGTGCTGCGGTCCCCCCGGCCGATCCTCATCAGGCAGTGCAGCGTGCGGCCTTTGCGGTGCAGGCCGGAGCAGTGGGCCTCGATCTCCGTCCGGCAGTGCAGCACGATCTCCGGACTCAAGGAGAAATCCTCCATCAGCATCCGCCTGTAGTCCAGCATCTCGCCCTGACACTCGCCGCTGACCGGACGCCCTGCGTGGAACCATATCAAACTATTACCGACACAGTTACGCCGGGATGTACATCACTTCAACATTTATTTATATTTGATAAGCATTGTAAAAAAGTTCTTTACTTAAAAAATAAGTTTAGTTTAGTTCATTTTTTGGCTACATGCACCAACACTGACATATTATCATTTTATACATTTGGTATGTACACTTTCCTTTCTACGCATCTAGCAGACATCGAGCTAAGGCTGTGCAATATTTAAATATTATATTGATATCGTGATTCGAGACTAGATATCGGCTTAGATTTTGGATATCGTAATATTATAAGTGGTGTCATTGCCTGATTATAAAAGCTGCTTTATAGTAGGGTCATGTCATTTTCAGAATTGACCAGACTGTTCTTGTAGTTCTATTGTTTGTCTTTACCCGCTTATTTATTATATCCACATCATTGATGTTTATTTATCAAAATGTCTTGTGGAATGTTTTGTGGAAGCTTCAATGAATATCGTCACAATCTCAATAGAGAAAGTTGGTAAAAGAGGCTGGATGTTTGATTAAATGTATATCGCCCAGCCCCATAACTCGAGTCATGTTGATGTTCCCTAGATTAAGGTCAAGTCTACTCTCCCTTTAGCTTCGTTTCGGTCTCCATCAACTTCAGAAAAAAAGACCTGGCTCTTAATTTGACTTTACGTTTCCCAAGCTTTTGTGCTGTAAATAAACAAGGTTTGTCAGGACCCTGATGTGTTCTCCCCCCCTCACCTCGGTGCACAGCAGCCTCCAGGCACAGCAGCAGGTAGGAGAGCCGGGCCTCACGGGCCCGCGGCAGGTTGTTGTCCAGGCTGCAGCGCTGCTTCCTCAGGTCCGCCTTGCAGGCTTTAGCCAGAGAGTAGCTGACTCTGTAGTCCTGAGAGATGAGCTTCTGACGCGTGGTCAGAGCGTCACGGCACTGACAAGGAACAGGGGAGTGTTAGTGACTTAAAACAAGTTCTCTATCATCCAGAGTCTAGAGTTATTTCCTCTAAATATACCTTTTCTGACATGGCCTCCTCAAACTTATGATTGAACAGACACTTGTAGACTTTCCCTTCTCCTGCCTGAGTCTGTGGAGAGGAAAGATAAATGAGAAATTAGTTAGCAATAATCACATTTGAGAATTATAATAGAGTTTCCAATCCCACATTGTATTTGTGCTTTTACTCCAATTTGCTTATACATTTGGTGTAAACTCAGCTGCTGATGATCCCATTACATATTATTTGATATGGTCTGACTGTAGAAACTTGCAGCGTCCTTACGTTCGGACAGAATCTCTCGCGGTCGTCTCTGCAGGAGAAGTAAAGGTGACGGTCGAGGTGAAAGTCGTCTGACGACAGCTCGGCCACCCGCAGGATCGCCTTCTTACACTCCTCTTTGATTGGATGACCGTGATCCTGCTGCTCCGCCTCCCTCACCAACGCCTTCTCCAGACAGGAGATGACTTCGCCCTGGGAGTGAACGTCCTGACGCGGAACGGAGGGAAATGACAATGAGTAAGTAAGTTAGAGAGAACAAGAACAATTAAACAAATGGCAAAAGGCTCCATCGAAACTCTGAAATGTTTAGTTGCTCACAACAACAAAAACAACCTGAGGGAACAATCAACATTTCTACGGTCTTGTTAATGAAATCTGTCAGATTCCCTCACCTTGTGTCCCACGTTGATGCTGCCGCAGTGCAGGGTGTTGATGTCTTCTTTACATTTGTCCATGAAGCCGCAGATCAGTCTGTAGTCGCTGAAGATGATACTGGTCATCTTGGTGATGTACTGGTTGCACTGGTACTCACTGACGTTGCCACGGTGATCCACCAGGCAAGACACCAGGTAGCCCCTCCCTCGCTCCTCCTCGTTACACTCCTTTATCTGAAATTGTGATGGGTCATAGGGACAGAATGTATTTAACCTTATCTCTAGATTACACGGTTAGGGTTTTTGTTATAAATATCTACATATGCTTTCTGCATTTGCAATACTGTAAAACATTTTAATTAAGCTCTGAAAAATGTTCTGTCCGTAGTGCACACTGACCTCAGCGATAGTGCTCTTGCAGACCTCCATAGCCACCGACTCAAACTTTGGATCTGTGGTCAGATTGAGTTTATAGTTCCACAAGAGCTGAGGAAGGAGAACAACATCATTAAAGTTTCAAATACGTATACAGTAGACAGGGGGTCTTCATAGTATGACACCGTGAGGGCCTTTCCTCAGTCAAATCTTGAAAAAGCCCCCCTTTAGTTTGCTGGTTTAGTTTCACTCAATTCCTGTATACCTATGGGATGATGATCATGTTACCTTATCCTAGACATTCGACAATTTAGCCAAGACTGCCTAATAATGTAGTTTGACCTATGTGTTTCTATGGAGAGAGCCATGGTCTCTCGAAATGACTGCTATGGTTTTATTTCCACTTTGACCTTGTTCACCGCTGACCTTTCAACGGACAACCAATCAGATGTCAGCGCTATGAAGCAAGCAACTTAAACAGCCTTTTTTTATTAAATCACTTATCATGTGAAAGCAGTTTAAGGCATTAATTAGTTGTTGGCTCTGGTGGGAAATTATTATTATATATTTCTTTACTTCAATACACTGTGTGCACGGAGCACACACTGAGCCCAATACTGACCATGAAAATAGTTGTATCCCTAAAACTAACTATAACAAGTATTACATTCCTCGAACAAGTGCCCAGGAATGGCTCGTTCGCATTAAGATACTCTTGTCTCTTTCTGTCTTTTGTAATTTTGTGTTTATTGTTTTCCTGCCAGCACTACTCCAGCTGCAGAGGCTAAGCTACCGAAATGACGTCAGCAAAACCAGTCTTAGTTTGTGCGTGAACTGTTCATTTCAGCCAGTGCTTTCCAGAGCTATAACTAAGAGAGTCCAAGTGGTCCATTAACCCTGTGGCGTTTTAAAAAAGCTGTCTGCCGTTCACTGCTGTGAACTCTGGACACTGAAGTTTTATCACCCAGAACACTGAGGCGAGCTTTAACAACCTGTGTGTGTGTGTGTGTGTGTGTGTGTGTGTGTGTGTGTGTGTGTGTGTGTGTGTGTGTGTGTGTGTGTGTGTGTGTGTGTGCGTGTGAGATTACTTACATGGTTACAATCAGGAGCAATATCAGATTCCTGCACAAAGACAGAGCAAAAGAAAGAAAATAAGTCAGAATTCAAACATTTGTGAATATACAAATTAAAATAATATAAACGTATTTTTGTAGATATAAGATACTCGCATAGCTGACAGTTAAACTCCTTACTAACCCTAACCTGGTAACAAAGGAATAATTCAACACTAGGACTTGGATGAGAAGATTGATACCACTCTCATGACAGTCAGGAGGTGGTTAGCCTAGCTTAGCATGAAGACAGGAGATAGCAAACCTAACGCAGTCTAATTGTTTTTATTGCCAAGTAGGTTTTCACATACAAGGAATTTGTTTTGGTGTATAAACAAAATGGAAGGGGTTAATTATTGACTGTTAAAGGCAACTAGGCATATTGTTGTATTACATTGCATATTGTATTGACAAACCTTAAGCCAGGGGAGGCCACAGAGAAGCTAGCTAGGTTAGCATCAGTTGAACTGAAAACCCTTAAAAACCCCAGTTCTGTTGTATCTATCTACACATTGTTTTTTTTTAGTAAGCAGCCTATTTTGCACACACATTTAGGACAGGGCACACGTTGTATTTGACTCCACACAGGATTAACCATAGGTGCAAGTCATTTCGCGAGGTGTTTCTTTAAAAAGCAGCCTTGTTTAATGAGTGAAAGAGCAACAACTCGGATAAGTATCCTGTTGATGAAATGATGGGAACATGTCTTGAGCCTACACGCTCAGGTGGATTGATTTGATATTAAAATGTAATTTCAGGCATAACGTGTTTTGCCTTATTAGGGTCTGAGACCTAGGTCGGCGAAGACCCTATTGAAATCGGTCGCGAAGCGACCGATAAACCTGCTAAAAACACCAAAAACAGGGAAATCGACCCGCAAAAGCAGAGAAAATGTTCGGAAATGATGACGGCTGATAGGCTGGGTTAGCCCAGTCACGTGGGCGCAGCCCACGTGATCGAAACTCGCATAATTGATATCGTACGATCTATTTAGTCGCTCGCGTAGCGAGCGATAACCATGCAAAACCCACCAAAAACAGGGAAAAAGAGGGCCAAAAGCCCATTAAAGATGGCCGACATCATGTCGGGACGGCCCCTACAGTGAGGATCTCCCATCCACTTCAATGTTAAATCGAACAAGATTGAAATTGGACGGATTATTCATTATTATTATTATTCTTATTTTAATTCTTTGCGCGCACTTTTGACCCCCGCCACATATGTCAAAACTCACCAAATTTTGCACGTGCGTAAAAAGTGTGGCAACTTGAAATATGTTATTGGTTCCGAAACTTCACGTAAAAAATTGCGTACGACACGTCCATTTACGCTTATAACGTGAAGCCGGCAACTTTAACTTTCACGTAAACAAACACAAATCCCTACGCATATCTAGAGTGCGGAGACCAACAAAAAAGCCTCTTGGAGGAATATAAAATAACGTACAGGAAGTCGGCCATTTTGAATAATGTGTCGGAAAAACGCCATTTATCGCGTTTCTCGTCCTCCGCGCAAAATCTATCTCCTCCTAGGAACTTTATCCGTACGACTCCAAAATCGTTGGCTATGTTCGCGAGACATGGGCAATCTTAAGTTATCACAGGACTTTTTTTCTTTCGCACGGCATAGCCGTTATTTGTCGCCAAAGTTCGCGTTCGCTCGATTTTCGGCGGTCCCTCGCCATGGAACACGATGATGTCATAACTCCAACTGACATACTCTGAACGCCACCAAACTTCACATGATGCCTTACACTACAGCCCTCAACAGCTCTAGGTGAAATCTGACATTACTTTATTTGGCGTTACCATGGCAACGGATCCTTCGCCATAACCAACGTTGTCGCTGTAACTCCAATGGACACGGTCCCATCGTCCCCCAATCTTCACTTTTATATCACCGGTACATGCCTCAACAGCTCTACGTGAAATCTGAAATCTCACCGTACGCCGTTTCCATGGCAACGCATCCTTCGCCAAAAAACACGATGCTGCTGTAAGTCAATGGAAAATCTTCCAAACGCCACCAGACTTCATATGATGGCTAATGGTCGGGCCCTCAACAGCTCTATGCAAATTATGGGATGTCATCATATGTCGTTGCCATGGAAACGCTTCCTCGCCAATAAACCTCATGTCGTCCTAATTCAATGGAAAATCTTCCAAACGACACCAGACTTCAGACTATCATTAATGGTCCGGCCCTCAACAGCTCTACGTGAAATTGGAAATCTCACCGTATGCCGTTTCCATGCCAACGCGTCCCTCGCCAAAAAACCTGATGTTGTCGTAATTCAATGGAAAATCTTCCAATCGCCACCAGACTTCACACTATCATTAATGGTCCGGCCCTCAACAGCTCTACGTCAAATCGGAAATCTCACCGTATGCCGTTTCCATGGCAACGCGTCCCTCGCCAAAAAACCTCATGTTGTCCTAATTACATGGGAAATGGTCCAAACGCCACCAGACTTCACACTATCATTAATGGTCCGGCCCTCAACAGCTCTATGCTAATTATGGGATGTCATCATATGTCGTTGCCATGGCAACGCTTCCTCGCCAAAAAACCTCATGTTGTCCTAATTCAATGGAAAATGGTCCAAACTGCACCACACTTCAGACTATCATTCATGGTCCGGCCCTCAACAGCTCTACGTGAAATCGGAAATCTCACCGTATGCCGTTTCCATGGCAACGCCTCCCTCGCCATGAAACACGGTGTTGTCCTAATTCAATGGAAAATTCTCCAAACGCCACCATACTTCATACTATCATTAATGGTCCAGCCCTCAACAGCTCTACGTGAAATCGGAAATCTCACCGTATGCCGTTTCCATGGCAACGCGTCCCTCGCCAAAAAACCTGATGTTGTCCTAATTCAATGGAAAATGCTCCAAACTGCACCAGACTTCAGATGACACTTAATGGTCCGGCCCTCAACACCTCAATATGACAATAGTGATAGTTAATAGTTAATTTTACTCAAAAGCTGTTGCCATGCCAACGCACCCCTCTACCTTAACCACCATATTGCTATAACTCCTGTGTAAATGCTACAAAAGTGTTAAAACTTCACATGTGTGCTAACTGTCAAGCCCTCGATACATATATGTGTCAGTTTTCAGATTTCCTCCAATTTAGTTGCTATGGTAACAAAATGGCCGCCGTGAATCACGGTTTCCTCATAACTCCAGTTTACATGCTCCAAACGCCACAATACTTCACAGCTTTTATAACGATGCAGCCGTCAACACAACTAAGCATATTATGGGATGTCACCAAATGCCGTTGCCATGGCAATATATCACCCGCCATCAAACACAATGTTTGCGTTACTGCTGTAACTCCTAAATATATAGTCCGATCGCCCCCAAACTTCACACGTTTGCCAACGCCCGACTCCTCCACACCTACCGTAGGCACACACGCCGACGTGCGGCACGTCGAAGACCCGCTCAACGCTGCTCGCAGCTTTAATTTGTGATTGTTGCTCAAAATAATAATGACGGTACCTTCAAGAAGTTAGAATGAAAAAGATGGCGGTCATTTTGTTTTCAGGAGAGTTAAATCAGTGGTATTCCAAGATGGCACAGAGAGTGAGTATTCAACCCTCTTTTAAATATCTATTTCAAGTCACAAAACAAAATATAAATCTTACATACATTTCTGAAAAATCGTAAACATTGTGTACTCTTTTTTTTCAGCGTGTTTGTGTCAAGCTTTTTGTGTGTATGCATATGTGTGCTTAAAAGACGGAAACAATGGGAAACACACACACACACGAATGTGCCAACTGATCCTCCCACAACAAATGTCCCATTGAATATTTTGGTCAAAGTAAATATGAAGTAAGCAGCAGAAGCTTTCCGCACACTCCCACAACCTCCTTGACAATCAGAGGAAGAACAGCAGTAGATGTGTTTCTTAATGCTTCATTTTGCAGTAACAGGACATGAAAGCACTTCATGTTAGCTCTGCTCAGCCCACAAGAACAAAGGCTGCTACACCCTTCTTCTGACTAGTTCAAGCCATCATGTCCCCTAAATGTTTCAGAGACAGCGGAGCAAATGTAATGTGGAAGCAGACCCTCAGTGGCCTCAAGGATTAGAATAACCAATTAGCATTACTATGAGTTATTAATTAATAAAGGAGCTGCTCCATTTGCATCAAAGGCTTCTGAAACAAGCTCAGATGAATCAACTAGACTGATGTTGATTCATCTGAGCTTGTTTGTGACCACCACTCATGTGGTCACAAAGACTTATTGTGTCTGGGGTAAGGGGTGGGGGAAATGTGACACAACTCTAAACATAATGTGATACACTGAGAAGCTGGCACTGTGAAAGCAACCTCTATACATTTAAGATAACAAGAGCTTGATTGTAGATTTACTGTAGCAGTTGAACAAAATGGCAGTACCAGACCGTAACAGCCTTCTTTCATCTCTGAATAAAGTGACCAAGTAAAATACTTTGTCATTTGGAAGGAGTTCCTTCCAGTAATGGACCCACAGATAATGATGTACTATTGTCTAGCTTTAGCCTCTTCGAGCTAATTGTTTTTGTTGATACATTTACTGTTTTGGTTCCATCTCGCTATGATAACTTCACCATTTCACCTGCTGAGCAGCAAACAGCTCATACACACAGTTAGATACTATCTGGTGAACAAATTGTAGCATTTAACCGCTGAAGAGACATAACTAGAGGTTGGTTGAGACCAAAACCAAAAGGTTTCCTTTAATGATGGATGTTAAAGGGGCCCTAATGTGCTCATTTTCAGGAGCATATTTTATTTTGTGCTTGAATGTTCAAAAAGGTCTTTATTTTTCTCATACTGCCTGTGCTGCAGCACCTCTTTCCATCCCTTGTCTGAAACCTCTTGTGAGCCCTTCTGAGGGTACATTGTGATTTAAATCAAGAGTCAAAGAGTCCATCAAAAATGAATGTTGGGAACTGAGTGAAAAGCTGCACTGACAGACAGAGAGAATCTAATTCACTGTGACTTCAGAGCTGCTCTAAGATCCACATCATTATACCTTGTCAGCCTACAGTCAATCAGTGACAGACTCATTCAATGACCACAGCTGGAAGATGGCCACGGGCCTCTTTGTGCTGCTGCAAAGTGACTTCCTGTTTGGCAATTACTTCATAACCCGATGTCCTTCAAATGTTGGATTTTCAGGGCTTAAACAGACACAAATGAAGACTCAAACTGAACTGAAACCATGCGCTGCTATACTGACAGTGCTGCTTCTTGGCTGTGTGTGTGTGTGCCAGGGGTGGGGGTGTGTTTTTCTGTAGAAGAGGCAGATTTATAAGAGCCATTTACCTCTTCAGGAGGCCACAGCTGTTATAGAGTTGAAGCGGTGTAATTATCTCATAAAGAGGGCATCGCTCAGGGCCGCTGGAGGACTGTGTGTGTGTGTGTGTGTGTGTGTGTGTGTGTGTGTGTGTGTGTGTGCGTGTGTGTGTGTGTGTGTGGCCTAGCATTACTATACTTGTGGGGACCTAAATCTGTTTACATAGTCACGTGTGGGGACTCACCTTCCTTATGGGGACAAAATGGAGGTCCCCATGAGGGGAATCATTAATTTAGGGTGAAGACTTGGTTAAGGTTAAGGGTTAGGGTTAGGGTTAGGCATGTGTTGGTTATGGTTAAGGTTAGGATAAGTCTCCAGGAAATGCATGTAAGTCAATGTAATGTCCCCTGAAGAGATGTATACATGGTGTGTGTGTGTGTGTATGTGTGTGTGCTCGTGTGTTTGACATCAGCAATGGGAAATAAAAGGGATGACGTCAACACCAGGTAAAACTCTCAGTGACAGGAAGCTTTTTCCCCAGACATATGTACATCCGTTAATGTTTACAACGGTCCCACCATTTCAACCTCAGTCATTTAGCATTTGAAAGGAATATGAGAATCAGATTGACATTTTAACTGTTTATATTGTCAGCGTGATTTTGATGTTTATGCTGACATCGGTATTTGTGAGTATAAAAAGAAACGGCAGCACAAAAATGAACATGTCGTCTTTTTGATTGTGTTACACTAAAAGATGTTTCTCGTTTTGTATCCGACCTGTGGTGCGTGGTGTGTATGAGTGAGTGGAAAAACTGGACAGACTAAACTGGGTCACCAGACTTGCCATCGTCACATCTGATGTCTTCTGATAGAAATCAAAGTCCAACCCTCTGAAGCGAGTAGAAAAAAGGGAAAAGCTGCAACATTTACCAGAATGCTACTATAGAGATATTTGCCATTACTCATTGCCATTTAATTTGACAATGTTTTCTTTAAAACCCAGGGTAAGCCACTTCACAATTAATGGATTAACTGTTTGGTTTGTGAGAAAATATTGGAAAAATGTACATCACAAGTTCCACATTAAATCATCTGATGCTTGTTTTATCCGAACAAAGAGACTTCATTTATGATCCAGAACAACTAAGAAGAACAGCAAATCCTCACATTTCAGGAGCTGGAACAACCATCATTGCTTGTAATGTAATGTAACTATAAAAAAAAAAGCCTAATAACACAAATCTGACTCAAGAAAAAGAGAAAGAACTCCCCTCTCCCCAAAAAAGGAAATCTTGACCGAGAAAAGTAATGGAGGAATCATCCGGAAAAGCGGTATATTCGTCCTAATATCATTGATTATCGATTGTACACTTAAAGGAAAACCTGCAGTGTGTATCACATGTACTGTCAGAGTGTAATAATCCAAGCTATCCTTCTTCTAGTCTGACAGTGAGTGGTTTTGTGCCTGCAAGCATCCTACTAAACAAGTGGAGTCCAAAACAAAATTAGCAAGAAAAACCAAACATTCCACGCATTCACTTCCAAAAAATAAATAACAGCCCAAAAATGAAAGTGTGCATGTAGGCGGTGAATCTAAAAAAAACTGATTGTGATGAAAAATATTTGTTTGGCTTTTTCATCACTGAGAAACAAAAGAGACAAGAGAAGCAGGATGAGTGTGTGTGGTTTAACTTCACCCCAAGTCACCTGACAGTGATAACTACAGCTCAGTTGAGGTAAAGGACTGTTTAGATAGTTAACTTATTCCAAGTTATCTCAGTGGGTCTCAAACGGTTTGGTCACCATTTATGTAAACACATATTGGGGGGGGGGGGGGGGGAGTGATTAGTAAAATATGCATGAATAATATTAAAAAAAAAAACGTTAACTAGGTGAAAAAAGGTAAGATAAACTATTAAAACTTGTTGAGAGCTAAAACTAGTCTTTGCTGCTGCCTCAAAGAGGAGCAGGGGGAGAGGAGGGAGACAGGAGAGGCTGATTCAGGAGCCCAGACACACTCACAACTATAAATGAACCAAAAACAAATAGATAAACAAGTTTCAATGTTTTTTCATATTGGATATGGTAGCTATGTTATTGGTTATGGCCATGTTCTTATGATTTTTTAAAAATATATACAGTTATGTTTCATATGGGTGTAGTCTCTTTATTTCCCCCTCAAAATGCACCAGATTGATGCATTTAAGTCCAACATTTAAAAAAAAACTTACCGGGGGAGCATGCCCCCGGACCCCCCTATAGGATTTGAGGTCCACCCCCACTTAAAAACGTAACCCCCTAAATAGATTTGTGCATTTTTTTAAAATAGTAACCCATGTCCATATGTTTATTTTTGGGTAGTAGATTTAGAGGGCTATCACTATGGGCAGCAACGCTGTAAAAGTTGACAAATAAATCCAGCAAAATGGCACAAAAAACTGGTAGTGGCCTGGCTGGGTGTATAATTCCCGGCTTGACTTATTGTCCCAGTCCGGCCCTGCCTGACAGCTGGATCACACACACATGCACACACAGACACATGTCAAAGTAAACAGCTGCACCACAAACCTTTCCCTCAAGACAAATACTTTGATATCCAGGTGCCATTACCAGTTACACAGCTTTGGTAGTAGCACATGACGGCTTTTTAGGCTAACGTAGGAAATATAAAACATTCTAAGCCTGCAATGTATTTGGATTTTATTCTTATAGAGTTATGATATATTTTTTCAGACTAGCAAGTAGCAAATCAAGAGTTCCCAGACACCAAAGCTATGTCTTCAAAACCCCTTTTTTATTGACCAGTAGTCTATAAATCCTGAATACAGCTTGGTGACAGTTCTTTTAATACATGGACAAACACCAGACAACCTCTAAACGTACGATATTAATGTTGTATTTCTATGTTTACATTCTTTTTATACCCGTAACTATCAAACTCTTCGAATAGAATACATCCCCCACTTGTAATGTCTATGTTTTTAGCCGTCAGGTGAATGTGGAGTAGATACAGACGTGTCAAAATAAGTAAATACAAAAAACGACTATGTGACAGTGTGTTCACCCCGTGGTAGCAATCGCCTTGTTATGATGTTCTATTCTGATACAATAATTTGTTTCATAAGATGTGACATTTCAGAGGAACACATGGGTTTCTGATGCTCAAATGAACCTACGTTGAGTGTGTGTGCGTGGCTGCTCGGACACTGACGCAGGTGTCCCCCTCTCCATCAGCTGGTCACCCCTGCATCAGTGTCCCGCTGACAGCCGAGGTGGATCTAAAGCCCCGGGTCGACACACCCAGCAGATGCCTATCACCTTTCGGGGATGAGCGTGCACCCTGTCAGCCTGGCTTACCTCTCTGCGGTCCTGCAGGCACTCCAGCACAGCCAGGTTGTTGGTCCAGGTGTGTTTGGGGCAGAGGCGGGACAGGTCCTCCCGGCAGGCCTCCTCCTCCGACAGCTTCCAACCGGTCGCCCTTCGAGGCTGAGAGGCCCCAGCGGCAGCAGCAGCAGCAGCGGCGGCAGGTGCATCCTTGGCCGGGGGCTCCACGGCTCTGACAACGGGCGGGTTGGGCGGGTTCGGAGGCTCGGCCGGGCCGCTGACAGCCTTCAAGCCGAGGACCGAGCCGAAGCCCCATAGAGAGACGGACAACAACAGCAGAGGCAGCAGCGTAGAGTAACTGTACGCCGCCATCTTCACACCACTGTCAAGCTAGTTCTGGTGAGGCTTCATCACTTCCGGTCAGCTAATTCACAATAAAAGCATTTTGAGCAGCCTAAACATACCACATCCGGCCATAAAAAAAATACAATAACATTTGGGACTGTGCCCATTATTATTTATTTTAAATAAATTAAATAAACACTAATATGTTGTTATTCAATTGTGGGATATGTAATAGGCCTACTCATATATTTAATTTACGAGTAAATAGTTTAACTGGTCAGACTACTGCTTGACCTTTCATCTAGAACCCACCTCACCTCTGCCCACTTTGACAACCTAGGATGGCTTAGAGTAGACGACAGAGTACAGCTACTTGCAATGGGCCTGGTCTACAAGATCCACTACACCTCTATGGTACCCATGTACATGTCAAAATTATTCCCAAAGGTCAAGGAATACCATGATCATAACACCAGAGGGAGCTCCACAAATCATGTCAAACCCAGATTTGGCACAAAAAAGGGGGAATACACGTTTCGCAATTATGCCACATCAAGGTGGAACGCTCTTCCCACAACTGTAAAGGAAAGTAAAACTATACTTACCTTCAAAACCTCTCTTAAAGAGCACCTTCGGGGGAGAGCATTGCAAAACTGGCCCCGGTAATGGTACAAATCTCAACCTGTCGTTCAATGGACAGCTTCCCCCCCATCTATGTATATACTCGCATTTTAGACTCTGTTACTAACTGTATATCTGTAGACTTGGTATGTCTTAAATGTCCGGTTAGGATGTATTAGAACGAAATCTAAAATGAAAATTGTAAATAAGCAATCTGTATGTAAAAAACCACCTGTATGTAAATTGTAAATAAGCCATCTGTATGTCAAATATGTCTTATATGTCTTAAATGACATGATGAATTGGAAATGGGGGACCCTGATGTAAACAAGACGAAAGTCTTTCTCTGGTCTGCATCCCCTTAACAATTGTATGTTTTGAGCTGTACTGTACTGTACTGTACCCAATATACAAGCTGTTAATAAACTTTTCAATCAATCAATCAATCAACATTTTAGTATTAACCATAGACTAGTGGCGGCCGGCCGCCCCATCTCTTCCCACATTCTAGATTGTGATTAAAACATATTGAATTTTTTTTATTACATTTCTTTTTAAACATTTTAATGAATATGGTACTGCGGCTGGCCCATAGGGGGCGGTAGGGCCTCGCCCTCCCTAAACCACACACAAGGAAATGCTTTTCTATATATTTTTTTTTTAAACTTTATTTTAAATTGCTTTTCCAATAGAGAGCTGAAGTCCCTCCCTTTCCGGTGGACCTTCATGGGACCTTATTTCGGAAAAATTATGTATTGTGGTGAGAGAAAAATTATCTTTCGATCCCGTTTGTATTGTGCCATGAATTACACATATGATGTTTGTCAATCTTAAAAAATAATTTTCAAGTAAAAACAGTCACAGTTTGTCGTAAAACTGTTGAAATATAAGACAATGAAAAATACACAACTAGAAAGACTACAAATCCAAGAGTCGCATAAGTGATGTCATAATTGTTTTCCTACATATAAGAGATAGCTAAGATAAGATCAATTTAACAAGATGCCTGTGTGCTTTGTACCAGGTTGTAATCATACCAGCAATGGGTCTTGCTCGTTCTTTCGCTTCCTGTCTGATGAAAGGACCAGAGGCCTGTACTACGAAGCAGGATTTTCGCTTAGCGGGCTAACTTCAGGGAAAACTCGGGGTTTCCGGTCCTATGACGCTGGTTCTCTTTTTAGCGGGCTAGATCTCCATGGTAACTTATGCTGAGCGGCTAACCTGCTCCGGAGCAGGTTAGGTTGCAGGCTAAGAGATCAACTCAGTGAAAGCACTGCCTGCTGACCAATCAGAGCTCAGTGTGCGGAGTTTAAAGCGATCAAGTCATATTACAGGAGAAAGGAAATACAGAAAAACTGCCGTTGCAGGAAAGACGGCCGGCCAAAATCACCGACTGTGTGAACGTGAAAATTAATAGAATATCACCTCTCATCTTCAGAGCAATCTGACTATTATAACATTAGCGTTAAGAAAGCTTACTTAAAGTGGACCTATCATGCTATATTTGAAAAATATATTGTAGGGCCATACCTATATAAAACATGTCTTTGAAGGGTTTTTTTCAAAATACCAAACAGATCATGCATTTTAGCCATGCCTCATTTCACTCTATTTGCTCTTTCCAGCCCTGTTTTTGCAGGGGCTGATTCTGTGACGTAGCTTTAATGCAAATGAGCTGCAGCTGACCACGCCCCCCTGCAGGAGAGGGGAGCGTGCTTTGATATCAGCTGCTGGGCTGTCAGAAGAGGGGGAGAAAAAGAGATCTTCGTCCACCGTGTTTTATTCTTATATGATTATATAGAGTCATTATTCATTTGTTTTAAAGCTCAATAAATAACAAAGAAGACCTTTGATCGGCACTTTTCTAATTTTGTCCGGACTTTAACGGACATGTTGACCGGCGAAAAAAAATCCGTTTCTGACGTCAGAACAATTTAAAATCTGTATCAGTCTGTATCAGCTCCGTTGCAGCCCCGTTTTTAGATATTTGGGTATGGAGGAAAAGAGAGAGGGTTGAGTTCCCTGACACATCGGGGACACATATTCATGTATAAAAGACGTACAAAAGTGCATTTTGCATGATAGGTCCCCTTTAAATATCTGCCACAACACAAGTAACCGGATCAAAGTACCATTACGTACAGTCCTACGTACAGCACTGTGAGTGCAGATGTCGATGTGTCCCAATATCATTCATATGTCATATCACATCATATCACACCATACTGTATCACATATTTCCTTATCTGAGTCAGCTTCTTGAGCCGTATCTGGCCGTGCAACACTAATGGCACATTTCCACTGCAGCGGGTTAGCCCCGTTTAAGCGTCCTTAAGCGTCCTCGCTCAGGCCTCGGGCTGCCTCGCTGGCCGTCCGAGGCCGTGGCGCATTTCCATTACAGTTTAGGACCTGGGGTAGCAACGCAGTGTAAGCGGGGCATCTGTGCAGAGACATCCTGGAACACTTTCACATTTCGAGTTGTTCCGTCGAGCTCCCGCTGGATTTTATCATCCCCAATGACATGTAGGAACGTCAAAAAAGGCTGTGTATAAAAATGCTGCAAGCTTGCTTCTAGATATATATGCGACGCTAGGATGATCTCACGCGCGATCTTGTGACGATTCTCTCTGACCAATCAGCAGTCGAGAGTGTTGACGTCACTAGTTCAGCCCTGGCCCTGGCCTGATAGAACCACGATTTGATGGGGCCAGAAAAAGAGGGGAAAAGTACCCGCTAGCTGGTGCTACGCTATATGGAAAGGCCACCAAAAACTGGCCTGGCCGCTTGAGGACGATTAAGGACGCTTAAACAGGGCTACCCGCTGCAGTGGAAATGCGCCATTACAGTGTCACATACTGTATGCAGAAGTATTATTTTAAGCAACACATTAAGTTGACGAAACACTCGAGTCAAATGTAATTAAAGTCAGATCCACTCGTGTCTTAGACGGGGCAGTGATATCATAAACCTGTTAATGTACGCATTCAAACACTTTTTCTTTTGCCAGCTGTATTCACCTTGCAGGCTTGTGGCTTTTATCCTGGATAAAGTGTTTAAGTTATGGATGTTTAAAGTTTAACTTCTTCATATTTGACTAGTATTAAAGTTCACTTTTCATTCAGGAAGTATGACGCTGCGCTGTCAGTGCGCTTCTCCATGTTTGTGATTGGTCGAATGCTCCAAATACCACCCCTTTCATTGGATTAGGCCAACCGGCTAACTCAAACATATCCAGGTTAGGAAAATCCAGCTTCGTAGTACAGGCCTCAGGTCAGGAATATTATGAATATGTCTTTATTATCAGGCTATGTTCCACAATCATTCAAAGTAGCAGTAATAAAACCACTTCTTAAAAATCACAACCTCGATCCAGAGATTTTAGCCAACTATAGACCTATTTCTAATCTTCCGTTCCTCTCAAAAATTCTTGAGAAAGCGGTCACAAAACAGCTGTGTGATTACTTAAAAAACAATGATTGATTTGAAGATTTTCAGTCTGGCTTTAGAACACATCATAGCACAGAGACAGCTCTGGTTAAAGTCACAAATGACATTCTAATAGCCTCAGACAAGGGACTTGTCTCTATTCTTGTTTTGCTCGATCTTAGTGCTGCATTTGATAATATCGACCATGATATCCTATTGCAAAGACTAGAGCACTTAATTGGCATACAGGGAACTGCTTTAGGCTGGTTTAGGTCCTATCTATCTGAACGCTCTCAGTTTGTACGTGTTTATGATGAATCTTCCACGCAAACCAAAGTTAGCCATGGAGTGCCACAGGGTTCAGTGCTCGGACCTATTTTGTTCACATTATATATGCTTCCGTTAGTCAATATTATAAGGAATCATTCTGTAAACTTTCATTGTTATGTGGATGATACTCAACTATATTTATCAATCAAGCCTGATGAGATTAATCATCTAAATAAAATTCAAGACTGCCTTAAGGACTTAAAAACGTGGATGACCTTAAACTTTTTGATGTTAAACACGACCAAAACTGAAGTTATTGTACTTGGCCCGAAGAATCTACGAAACAAATTATCTAAAGATATACTGGATGGCATTAATTTGGCCTCCAGTGAGACTGTAAGGAATCTTGGTGTTATATTTGATCAGGATTTATCCTTTAACGCCCACATAAAATCAATTTCAAGGACCGCCTACTTCCATCTACGTAACATTGCAAAAATCAGACATATCTAGCCTCAAACCGATGCAGAGAAACTAGTCCATGCATTTGTTACTTCAAGGCTGGATTATTGTAACTCCTTATTATCAGGGTGTACCAAGAAGTCAGTCAAGTCGCTTCAGCTGATTCAAAATGCTGCAGCTCGTGTACTAACCAGAGTTAGGAAAAGGGACCACATTACTCCTGTTCTGGCTGCCTTACACTGGCTCCCTATAGAACACAGGATAGAATTCAAAATTCTTCTTCTCGCCTACAAAGCCCTTAATGGGCAGGCGCCATCTTACCTTAAATAA